ATGTAGTATAAATGGTAGACGTTTGTATTTTTACCGTAACATTAGTAACATTTTGTAAGTCACAGTGATACGTGAAGATTCACCGGTAGAGATAGGCTTAGAAAAACATGGATGAATTGCGTGAAGGGTGATATGATTGAGACGGAAGTGATGACAGATGATGGAAGATAGATTAATCTGGAGGATGCAAACCTGGTGCAACATGAGTAGGAGAAGATGTTTTTTACATGTGTGATTTAATCAAAATAAAACTCTTTTTCAAGTTACTATAATTAAGCATTCTTTATATATGTTTTCAATAACACACTAGTTGAAGTGGAGTACGGATATTTATTTGTCCCTTCTGTTTAAAACAAGAATACTATAAAATAGAAAAGCAGCAAAGTAATTGAATAAACAACGGACTTTTCCCGTAATTATATTGATTCAACGTCCAAAGAAAATACTGCAAGTAAAACTATTCGTTAAAACTCGCTAAAAGCGTACGGAAAGAAATATCCTTTTAAACTTAATAGAAACAGTACGACAGGAAAATGGCAGAAAAAAAAACAAAGTTTGTATCTTGCGCTGAATAAAATCGCACAAATAAGGTTTGCGGACCGTCGGATTAGCAAGTAAAATCACTATAACGAAGTCTGCAGTCAAACAGAATGGAAATAAAGGGAAGACGCAGCCAGGATATTTGACGACAAAAACCTTTGTCACACACACGTGTGCCTTTATTAGAGGAAGACATTTAAATTTTAATAATGTTTATCTGAGCCTAAAAATGCTAGATGATACATCTTCTTGCAAGTATAAGGAATTAAAATTTTAAATACATCACTTTATTTCGGAAAGAAGTTTTTTCCATAACATGACGATAATAACTCACAAATAACAATATAACAAAATTAAAAGTACACTTAGTTGAACTTAAAAATAATACTTAAATAAACATTTATCCAAACCAAATATTATTACAATATGGATGTAATTATGTTTACTTTACTTTTGTTAGCATTTGTATTCATTAGAAAGTGGTAGGGATGCGGTTTGATTGTTTTAACAATCGAGTGAAACAAGAAACAATGTTTCCTTGTTATTAGTGTAGGGGATTTTTTTACTAATCTCACTATCTTACTTCTTACTAACACTAGCTGTTCCCGTGCGGCTTCATCCGCATGAAACTATGAAAATTTTATTTTATTGTTCACATTTGTTAAATAATCAATAACAAATGTCAAAATGTCATGACATGATGACATAGCATGGTAACCTTGCTTTCTTGATGTTGGCAGCAACTTATGGTCTTTTTCCCACATTAGGGTTTTTATCCAAAATATTTACTTCCTAAGTTTAATGGCGTGGAAATATAAAGCCTAAAGCGTGACGTAAGTCTAGGACTTTTTATTAAAAAAATAATTATTCAAAAATATGCTGTAATTGCCGACATCTTAGGCAACAAAGAAGTGTGTGTTTACGCTTTATTATAATAGTATAGATTATAAATGCGAAAGTTTAGAAGGATGGATAGATGTTTGTTAGAGTTTATACTAAACGGCTGAACGGATTTAGATTAAATTTGACATGGATATAGAAGGTAGTCTGGAAGAACACATATTCACTTTTGTTTTTTTGTCAATTCACCGCGAATGGAGTTGCGGGCGAAAGCTAGTCAATAATTAGTTTAGTTGTTTATTCGCCTCTATGTAATTTTTACGTAGTCCGCTAGATATTGGACGTATTTTATTACAAAAACAATATTGAAGAATGGTATGAGAGAAATTTAATTATTAAGTGCTTAACTTTACTGAAAATTAATTATCGGATCACATAATTTAGTTTATCGGTTAACTTTATCGCGTGTTTAAACTAAACATGTAACAAACTGGGTAAGGATATTAAAATTCAAAAGGCAAGTCCCTTCCGCAGGTAACTTTGAATGTTCAATGATGCTCCTTAGAAAGTTGGTAAAGTTTGAATTACCCATCGGGGTGCTTGCTGAAACGAAGATGAATTCGAGCCAATCCAGCGAGTTGGCGGCCTCGCTCCGACTCGCTGGCTCCCGACGGCTTTGACTTATCGACTTCTATCCGACGGAATGTTTCAAGCAAATTCGAATTTATTAAGCCTAATTCGTGACTCGAGATTCCCTGGCAATAAATTTTATTAGCAATCGCTTTAGTTTTTTTACGCTTCGAATAACTTTGATTATTTTACTACTTTGTTACACCTACCGTTAAGTAAACCATTATTTTGATTATGAAGTAAATTTACTTATATGACAAGAAAGAAAATATGTTTTTACTTACTACGTCTCCCATTATGTTTGTATTGAAAATAAATCTTTCGCGATTTTACGGCACAGATTTTCTTAATGTTCATCTTGGCTCAATTCCAGTGTATGTAAAAATCACAATGTGGAGGAAACTTTGTGTACATTTATGTACTTATATATTATATACATCTTACTGCGTATATCAGCTTGGAAGAGGTAAATGAAAAGTACTGGAAAACTAAATAACTTGAGCTATTTAGTTAAGAACATTTGAAAGCTTTCACGATTTGAGATCAATCCTATGTTTATTCTACGGCATTACGACAGTAAGATAACTCTATTGTCATTAATTCTACACGTATGTAACTATAAGAAGAATTGAAGATATAATTGAGACACCACACGGACGTTACAGTGTTACAATACGAATCAAAACGATGGCCAGATCCTTCCAGGTTTATCCAGGTTTCCGAAATTTTATTAATTCACGTTTTCTTCCGTGAATTATGGAGAAAAAATATAAACTCATTGTACAAAGCTGCTTACAGTAATAACACGAT